CCTACTGTGACCAAATGAAGAGGGGCGGCGTCCCTGCCAAATGAACCTTAATGAACCTGTACTTAAACCAGGAATACCAGATTAGTAGCGTATCGCTAACCACGAACTGTTAACGTCTTCCAGCTAAAAAACTAGCCGTTATCTGTCGAAAATTATACTGAAATCCAATTGTAAACATCATGGATAGTAATTTCTACTATCCATGGTAAACATGTACCTGCACATGCGCGCGAAACAAGTATGAGATACGCAATTGTTTTACTTACTAGGGAGGTGACAGGAAAAAATGTTACGGGCAGCGTAAAACTTTTCAAGAAAGATCAATAACTTTAAAAAACGCGTGGTTACCCCTATATTTTATGTTATGAAATGGAAGTAGCAAGCCTATTCAACACGTGATTCGTTTCTGGTTGTGAGCAAAAGGTATTTAGACTGTATTTTAGCTGAACCAGAGGAAGGCTGTCAGAGACGCTAAAAAACGCTGTGGCAACGATTTTGTTATTAAAAACATACCAAAAATGGTTTTTATGTTACCATTTACCATGTAGTTTTAAGATCTTTATAAATGTGTTTGCTTTTCTGTATATAAAGGCGAATTCTAAGGAAACCTGTGAAGAAATATCCTTTCCTTCTTTTTTCAGAAAAATGCTGATGTCAGCATTTTTGATGCGATTCAAGGCTAATTATTTCGAAAAAATGCGTGGCTACCTCAATTTTTCCTTGTGGATGCCAATAGCCCTTACAAAGATCTAATTTTTCCGCGTGGTCCTAACCTGGCGCAAAAACCCTTGTATTTAGTAGTCACCGTCCTCAATTAGGAGAACAATGGATGGGAACGTGCGTTTTAATTCTTGGTACATTTCTTTACCGTCCTCTGCAAAACAACAACGTGAAATGACCAAATTCTGCGTTGTCTGGAGAACGTGAACCACGGCGGCTAATTTTTAAAAATTTTATTTCAAGTTTATCGCTGTGTCCCACATTCAGTTTCGTGAAAGTTTTGTCAGTGATAAAGAAAGTAAATGACTTTAGAGTATTGCGAGATTCGTTGGTAAAATATAAAGTCATTTTTTAATCGAAGGTGTCCTCGGCGTCGCCGTCGTGGCCACTTAAACTCCCTAAATAACAAGCTTACATGTACATCGATTGTGAATCAGTTTACTCATGGAAGTCGGCAGTAAAACAAACAAGCGAAACACTATGAAAAATAAATTCATCCGGTGCCTTTGTTTTATCGTTGTTGACTTCATTTACAGTTGTCATCATCGTTTAAGAATGAGTAGCTTTAGTTTGAAGAAAAATACATTTTCTCTGGAAATTATACTAAATCAGGATTTGTGGATCTGACCTGCTGGCGATCACCGTCGGTAACCACTGTGTTAACGATTCTTCATGATGCCTTGGATACGAGTTCTTGAATGGATTTTTGGTCCTGGGGCGATAGCAGTCATGTTGAAAATTCTCCATCCTTTCAAATGTGTACAAATATCCTGGACTTGGAGTGATGTCTTCCTAATAAATGAAAAATTTATTCACCAACTGTCCGCCACGTTTACTCAGTCAGCAACTCATTATAAATGCAGACACTGACACTATCGCAACCTCGTTCCCAGGGTCTTCTCTCTTCCTCCTACCCTGGTTGCGGCTGGTCAGGTGCCTATGTATACAAATCAAATCCGCACAGAGGGTGGGTCTTTGACTTAATTTTGTCAACACTGTCTATGGAGGTGAAAGTTGCGCTGCCTTACAGACGTTATTTTGAAAGTTAAGTAAGTTATTTGTCAGAGATCCTGCCTGACCGGTGCTTCGTTTCTATCTGAACTTCCATGAGTATGAGATGTTGATTGAAAGGGAAGTTTGCTTATTTTCACTACTTTTTTAAATAACCGTCAACAGCCTGCTTCGGATTAGTTTAATCAGTTTCTCGCAGCACAAGAATTAAATAACCGTTAAATTTTCGATGGGATGCATTCAATTTTAATGAGAAGCTAGTCTCTCGACCGAAAATTGGACTTGCCGCTAAACGGTTTTGAAACGAAAGCCGTTGGATTTTGCAAACGCGCGGCCGATGTCGTTGTTGTCCTGACCAGTTCTTCATAAAATTTTTCACTGCAAGAGAATCGAATGACCGTAAAACTTTCGATTGGATGAGTTCAATCAAATTCAGAGTTATTCTCTTGGCCAAACACTGGACGTATCAAACTCTAAACGAATGCATCAATGCCGCCGTTGTGATTTTGCCGATCGAAAAATATAAGCTTAAGCTAAATCAAGCTTTAATATTCAGCGCGCAGACGTTGTTGATGTCAAGTAAAATTTTTTTCGCCGCAAGAGAATGGAATGACCGTCAAACTGTCGACGAGAGTAATTCAATCCAATTCAAAACTACATTTGTAGGCGAACATACAACTAACTTATTTAACTCTAACGGAACGAGTAAATACCTTCGTTGTGATTTTGCCGAATGAAAAATAAATTAAGACTTAATTCACTACGCGGTCCATTTATTGTGGTGGTCGTCATTTCCAAGTTCTTTGCCAAATTTTTTAACTGCCACAGATTCCAAAGACCGTCCAACTATCGACGGGGAAAATTCAACTAAATGCGGAGCTAACCTTTCAGCCGAACATTGAACGCATTGAACTCCTGTATCGAGTGTGTCAATGCCTTCGCTGTGATTTTTGCCGATCCACAGCGGGGGGGTTCAGCGCGAGGGTTACATATTCCACTCCCTACTGGGCTCAGTAGGCAAGCTCAGTGCGAGACAAACTTTAACTTTCCAGCCCCTCCCTTCAATTACATCTCTGGAATCTGCAAAAATCTAGCAGACACGTGACCAGCCGCAACCGGGGTACTTTCTCGAGGTAGAGAGAGGACCCTGGGAACGAGGTTGACTCCATCGACCCTGGCTATCGACGCATCTACAGATATTATCTTCTTTATTTTTGAAGGCTTCTTGGGGTAAAAATTGGAGTTAAAATTTTGTTGACCTGTTTAGTTTTCGGGTGCTTTAGCTATGTACAGATCTGTTCAGTGTACTGCAGCTTCATATAGACATTAATTAAAGAACAAATGTTATTTATGGGGTTCGTTCAGATCCAGAAATGCCGGATTGCGCGACGTAACACGAATATTTTGGTTGTTTTTCCGCAAAATCGTTATATCGAGGTTTACGATCTAACCAACCCTCGATATAACGAACCAATTTCCCTAGTCTCTTGGCACTTCGTTAAATCGGGATCCCACTGTACTAACTATAAATATCCAGGTGTATCTTATACTTTTAATCGCAGCCTACCGTTAGGGGTGGAAACATTCCTGCTTATCACGTTAAAAAACCTTCATGGTTATGCGCAGGAAAAGTAAATTATACTGACGGGTAAAACTGCTAGGTTACTGCTGAGGGTTTGAAACCCTAGCCTTGGTTTTACGTGAAAGAAAACCTAAAATACCTCAATAACGTTCAAGACAGGGACCAATCCAACAACAGACAGGGAGCAGTTTACAAGATCAAATGCTCCGACTGCCAGGCTTCCTACTCATCGGT